ATCAACATAACGCCCGATTGTCTGGACCGGCTTCCTGTCAAGGCCTGGTCCTTATCCCTCAGGGGATCGGAACTGCTAAAACCATAACTCAATTACCAGGAGAGAAGAAACTCCCTGTCTGAAGACCCTCCACGGACCAGATGTGCAGTGTAACTTTGACCAGCTTCAGCATAAATCGATAATCCAATAAACAAGAAAGACAGATTTACAGCTCCATCGTCTGAGCGGGAAAATCAGCAGACCTACACCACGTGACTTTCTTGACCCTTTATCCATACATTCCAGAAAGACGCGTGTTTCTCTCGGCAGACAAAGGAACACGCGAACTCGCATAGATGATTTCAAAAGACAATCATTTAAAAGTATAAAAGGGCAACTATATTCACAAATAATATGTTTTATGTCTTATATATGCTTGATGTGTTTCATGTAATCGGTGCAACTTTAATCAATGTTTTATAACCCCTTTTAGCAGATAAAGCTATTAATATGTGTGTAAGATATGTGAAGTTTAGTGTTGAATGAAAACTTGTAATAATTGCAGAACACTGAAAGGAATGAAAAGCTGTTATTTTGAACAGTGGGTGTACGACACTGATATTTTGAACAGTGGGTGTACGACACTTTATAGAAGTTATTAACAAAACCTGCAAAGACATTTCCCCAGTGATGAATTGAACAGCATGTTAATTTATGCACAAAGAGGAACCGTACGGGGGCGTGGCTAAGCCCTGCAACAGCGTCCGATTGGGACAATCGCTTCTGGGATGGACCAAATCGGCTCGCTTAAAAACCAAATGCATGAACAGATCAGTGCTCGCTCGCTCGCTCAATCTTTGGCTCTTTCGCCTTGTTGACCGCGCTACAAAGCGCTCACACGCTGTAACATCACGTGAGCGAGATTCCAGAACTCAAACACTTCGTTGAAGCTTCGTAACTTTGCAGAACTGAAAGTCTTGCAAACTCAGGCTCTCTCAGACGAACTTCAAGGCTCCTCCGTAACCAAGCAACGCCCATTCACCACGAGGGCTCTCCCAAAAAGACGTCATCCAAACGACAGATCGGCAACCAATCAGAGGCTGCGGGATTCCCTGGGATGAGCCAACGAGGAAAACCCCTCTCAGCTCTCAACTCAAACGCAAGTAAAACAAGGTCTCCTTACTAGCTGGAAAACTGGTGCTGAATTGATCTTAAGCAACTAAAGATAAGCCAAATCTCTGCTTTTGTGATTTTCTTGGTGCGATCTAAGAACAAATAACTTACTAGACTTTTGGGACTTCCTCAGAACTCCATTACCTCTCATCCTTCGAACTGTATGTGTGTGCGTGTGTGTTTTTTCATTAGTTTAGTACCATGTAATCTATAGAGTAGCTCAAATAAATTAATGTTTCATTATAAAGAATTATTGACTTGTGTTGTGTATTTAAAGTTAAACTTTGCCCAGATTTTGCTACCTAGCTCGTAACTTATAAATTATCACTAGCATGTATTAACCTGTGGCCAGGGATAATACAAATATCCAAATTGTTAAGATATACTGATGTTAACGTCTCACTGGACGAACAGTTGATAAAGTGTAAACTATCAAATTTGGAATCAGTTCAATCAGGTGGATATTGAATCTTCAGATTCGATTCCCCTCTCAAAAGAGTTACATTTCATTACAGTAGCTATTGTCCGTAAATTAGAAAGTTGCCTTCAAGTTTTCTGTTTTCTGTGTTCCAGGGGGCGCTGTAGAGCCCTTGTGCCATGCCCGGGTCCCAGCCTCTGCGGCATCCTAATGACCGCATATTCCAATGTGTGTGTGCCAATTTTCAAGAGTTTTTGAGCACGTTAAGGCCCCCCCAAAAAAGTTTCGATAGTCGAAAAAAAATAAATAAATAAATAATAACGAGTTGTTCCCCTGTCCGAGGGGAACGAAGGGTCCTCGCACATATTCGAATCCGTAGCCAGGGCAAAGAGCACAACAGGATAAAAGGGGAGTATCGGTATATGTGATTTTGAGGAACAATGTAGGGACATTTGATGGGAATTAAAATGTAATTGTGCGCTAGATTATACTTGTGTAAAAACAACACATAGCACTATTTATTTCTTATGTTGGTTCAAGTCAAGCTATAGTTTGTCATAAGAGAAAGCAAACCATTCTGGTGAAAAAAGTGGAAGCTGTGATCATTTATGTCATACATGTCCGCTGACTCTTTGTTAATTAAGAATAAGCCTGAATGGGTGTTTAAATTGTTATCTTGTAATGATTAATCATGCAGCTCTTGTTTGCCATACATTTTAACTGTTTTTGCTGTTTGGATAAACATAAATAGATTTTTTCAAACACTGTTGTAAATGCGATACTTTCTTCTTCCAGTTGGTGGTGCTACTGTACACCCATGACCCATAATAGCTACATTAATGTGATCAGCCAAAAATGCCAAACAATTCTGTTTTGTTTGATGTGAATCACACAATGAATGTAGACGATATGAGACACTTCCTGTTTACCAGTCAAAAATATTTGACATCCTGTTGGGTGGAGGTGAATGTCTGTGGTGTGAAAGCTGTCCTACTTGATGAGATCTACATATGTGCAAAGCTTGGTGACCATAGCTGAAAAGGAATGCACTACAGATTTCCCTGAACATGCCCATATTCTAGGTGGCGCTATATAGCTCACTGTGGACACACATCTATGAACCTTTGCCAAGCCATAAAAAGAGATGACTCTGACGAGTGTGCAAAGGATCATGAAAATTAAAGCATTACAAGTACCTCAAAAGACATGATTAAACATGAAAAGGATAATAATGTTTAATGTGTTGTCATGGCAACAGTATTTTACTTTTCCAGTACTTAATAATTTAAAATCTGTAGTTTGTTGTTATTAGAAAAACATCTGAAGCAATTTAGAGAAAGAGGAAAAAGTTTGCTAAAATGTCTTACTTCCTTCCACCAGTTGGTGGCGCTACAGCCATGACCCACACTAGCCACATCAATGCGATCAGCCCACAAAGCTAATCATATGTGTCCAATTTGAAGTAAATCACATGATGCACACAAGATATAGGAAACTTCCTGCTTCATGTTTTGATGCTTCTTTACCACGTCGCTGTGGCAACACCGTTTTAATTATTATTATTAATTATTAAATAATTAATCTAATTATTAAATAGATTTAATTATATCGCATGGAATTGATCTTACTGATATAGATATCGTACCTCAAAGTGATGATGTTACTGACCATTTCCTTGTATCGTGCATGCTGCGTATTACTGATATTAACTATATGGCTCCGCGTTCAGTATGTCCAGCAATAGACAGGCTCTAAAAGCTGCCAGGGCAGAGCATATCCACACTCATAGAAAATAACCAAAACAATCCAAGGTTTTTATTTAGCACATTGGCTAGATTAACAAATAACCAGACGCCACCCGATCTAAATATTCCCTCACAGTTTAATAGTAATGACTTTATGAATTTATTCACTGATAAAATAGATAACATCCGAATTACAATAGCAAATGTAGATACTACAGCGTATAATACTTCAGCTTCATTCATCGCACCAAAAGATATTGACTTGACTGACTTGACTTGACTTGACCGTTTGAGATATAAAAAAAATCATCCGCAATTTAACATCTTCAATGTCTTGGCATGATTGTACCGAAATTTGGTGCCATTTACATGAATCCCCTAGGAGGGTTGTTTCGAAAACGACAGCATGCCATTTTCAAACAATCCAAAATAGCCGACTTCCTGTTGGGCAGAGCTAAAAAAGTTAATAGGGAATTTGTTTGTCATGATGAAGGCAATGTCCCTATGAAATTTCGTGAAGATCAGACAAAGTCAACCACAGTTCCCTGTCATTTTGCTTTATTTGATGTTTGATTCATGGGGGGTCCCTCTTACATCATACTATGGGGTTCCCCTTAGGCATTTATGCACATGCTCACTCTTCTAAAACGGCGCTTATTGAGGACGCGCAAAAATACATAGATTAAAATGCATTTATATATCCATAGAATGGAAGATATAGATTGTACTGCATCATGTTAGCTTGCTTATTGTGCCCAAGAGCATAATTTATATAAGCCCACATGTCTTACTAACAAGAAACTATGCTTCTAACCACAGGTCGAGAGCTGTAGTTCCAACAACTTAAGTTTACGCTGCTGTTTGCGAATGTTCCTTTGAATTATGGTTTTGGGAAACACCGACTCATTGAAACATTTTGGTAACGACGGAACTTGTGACCATAGTTGGCTAACGATGCTTTGCATTTTCAAATATGATAGGCAACGTTTCATTGCATCTAAATGTTGTAGGACTCATCTGCATTTTAGCTCACAATCTCCAGTGATTTTTTTAAAGGGCATACTGATGCGCAAAACATGATTTTTACTTCATATTTTTAAAATTGCATTTGTAACTTAAGTAACGTACTTTTGTTGACATTAGTAACTGTAATGAAATTACATAAATTTAAAATGTAACGCATTACTTTACTGCGTTACCAGGAAAAGTAATTAGAAACACACACATATATTATGCAAACAAAAACTTTAATTTTGGATGTGATTAATCGCGATTGATCGTTTGACAGCACTAGTTATTATAAAGCATTATCCTAAATTACGAGTGACTTTGATGGAGAAAAAAGACAAAAATTACTAATACTAAAGTTAAAAGTGTTCCTCAGGAAGCACAGTAAAATATTAAATAACAAAAATAAATACATAAAATAAAAAAGCATTCCATTACACCATTAACATATCCATTTATTTATTTATGTAACCTCAAAATCCTCAAGTCAATACCTCAAAATAAACCCCTTCAGGGTAATACAAGATCCCTCCATGGTGTCTAATTTGCAATAATGACCTGCTAACTGCACATGATCCCTTATTGATATATATAATGAGTGACTACACTGAATACTTAACCTCCATTAGCTAATCTCCTGTTTACTTTGTAGAGCACACAGGAAAAAAAAAATATATATATGCGTAAATAAAACAAGCCAGAATAAGGGCTATTCTGATCAAAATACCTGGTTTGAGTGGCTCACTATTATTCTGGGTTGTAAGTACATCATATGAGTAAATGCAGCTGAATGCATGTGTAATTAGTATATCTCACCAGCGTAGGGCAATTTTGATTGGTGTAGTGAGACAGGAGGTGAAAAGATCAGCAGGGAGGTCAGGGTTCATGGGCAGGAGTTCATTGGCCTCACAGGCGGCCAGCTGAATGCAGTTCTTCATGGAGGGAGGCAGGGGCATCTGAGCCAGTGGGTGGTTAGGGTTTATTGCTGCCACCTAGTAAAAGATAATGAGAACCAGTGAACAACCGTAAAGCAGGTCTCCAAAGACTTGGGTATGAAATCTTAGAACATTGAATCATTTGCTGCACAGATGTCAACATTCAGCACATTGTTTTTCCTTGCTGAAGACTTTCAGGTGAATATAACCAGTCGTCATGCAGTCTGATGCAAGTTTAACATTCTTCACATTTAATCAGTAGTCACTTAAAGTTGATAAGTATGGCTTTAATTTCAATTAACAACATCTTGAGAGACAAGACAAATTTCTGGCAGAATTACTATTTTGTGATGTCTATTCTTACAGTGTTTTTTAAATTAAATTACTCATATTATGGTAAATACTTGGCAGGGTTGTTGACTTGAGTTGCATGACTTAGTTTCAAATTCTTTTTTTTTTATATATATATTTGCGCATTAAATATTTTTTTAAATAATGAAAACTTTGCTGAAAAACCTGTTATACACAATCTACTACATGCCTTCTGTTGTATGATGGATAGTTTATACATTTTTTTTTAGCAAAGTATAATTACTAATTCAAATGAGTAGAATTCTGAAAACGATCGGCCTCCGTTAACCTTGTCTACTAGGTGCTCAAAATTCGTGTTCATGTTTTTTGAGATTTGCAAATGTCCTTGTAGACACTTGTGGCACTTTGGACCAAAACCGTGCACACCAATTTTCATGTTGATAGGACAGTTCTAATCATTTTTATGTTTTTTTTTTCCCTCTTATAGTGCCACCAAGTGGCCAAGCTCCGTGATTTTTTTCCTGTGACCTCAGATAGAGCTTTTACATAAGTGTTCTGAGTTTGGAAAATATTCTGTTCATAAGATATTCTGATATGAAAATATTCTGTTCAGGAGTTATAGGCATTTTACTAAAAGTGGCCATGTCCCTTTCGTTTTAGCACCCCTTTGCGATGGTCAGTCGAAAGTTCAACTTTTTTAAAATAATTATTGATATTCACTCTCCAGAGAGTCTGTCTGCACTGGTTTGGTTCCGATTGGGCAAAAAACATGGGACTAGTTCGCAAAAGTAGGTTTTTTAAAAAATGCAAATATCCTAAAAATTAGAATCTGACTGTGTGGCGTGAGCCAAGCATTCCAAATTTTTTTTTTAAAGTAACGCTGCCAGCGGCAGACAGTGAATTGATAGCCTATATGTTTGATCAATTTAGCCTTCTCAAATCATCACGACTTGCCTAAAATAAAATCTATATATAAAACAGTTCAAGCATATCACAATGCAAGTTTAAACATTTAACCTAGATGAATGTGTGCTGTTAGGCGCATATCCAATCGTTTGTGCGGAGAGTGGAAGCTGAAGCGCGCTCTGCAGGACATGGAGAGGCGCCAGTGCGATTACTTGCATTTTTTTTTGAACAGTTGAAACAACTTCAAATATGCAGTCATTTTTGCTCATAAAGGTAAGTGTCTAAACTGATCTAAACATCATTCTAAACTGTAAAGGGTCTAGTTTTATTTGTGTGCACTCACAATATCAACAAAACGTTGTGCTTTTATAAAATAAAGAAAACAAACGCTTTCTGCC